TCCTGCAAATGCCATACTTTCATTTTTCTTTGTGGCTGAGTAAAGCTTTACTGTTTATATATATATATTTTCTTTATCCATCCATCTGTTGATAGATATCTGGTTTTTATGACAAGTAAAGCAACAAACATGGTTGTACAAGTTTCTCTATGATAGGACTTAAGAGTCCTTTGGTGGGTGCTGGAGAGATGGCTCAGTGATTAAGAACACTTGTTGCTCTTACAGAGGACCCTGGTTTGATTCCCAGCACCCACATGGTGGTTTATAACCACCCATAACTCCAGATTCTGGGGGATTCAATGCCCTCTTCTAACCTTCATGGCACTAAGCATGCAAGTGCTGTGCCCATGAGTGGGATGGCTGAGTCGATTTTTAGTTATTTGAGGAACCCAATACCAATTTCTACAGTAACTGCACCAGTTTACACTCCTACCAGCAAAGAATAAGAATCCCCTACCCCAATCCCCAAGTTAGCCAGCATTGTTGTCATTTGCTCCATCCCCCCAGACAGGGTTTCTCTGTGTAACAGTTCTGGCTGTCATGGAACTCAACCAGGCTGGCCTCTGAACTCACCTGCCTCTGCCTCCCAAGTGCTGGGATTGAAGGCCTTCCCCACAACCACCTGGCTTACCATTTGCTTTCTTTTTTTCTTTCTTTTTTTTTTTTTTAGTTTTACAACACAGGGTTTCCCCGTGGCTTTGGAGGCTGTCCTGGAACTCACTACGGAGACCAGGCTGGCCTCGAACTCGCAGAGATCCACCTGCCTCTGCCTCCCGGGAGCTGGGATTAAAGGCGTGCGCCACCACCGCCCGGCGTCATTTGCTTTCTTGATAGCAGTTCTGACCAGGATGAGACAGGCTCTCAGAGGTCCAGTCAAGGACAAGCATACATCTTGATGCACTCCGTTTGCATTCTAATGGCTATGAGTGTTGAACACTTGGCCACTTGTGTCTCTTCTTTTAAGAATTATCTATTCAACAAAATTCCAGGCTAGAGAAGGGGAAATAGTTACCAAGTCCCACTCCTAACCAAAAAGTTGTTTGTAACTGATACCTGCAGGGAGAGGGAAAATCAGTTTTCTCCAGTGGTGTGACACTGGGTATATTAATCCTACTGTAGCACAGGCCCTGTACTCTGGAAGAGTTGACCAGCACAGACTCCATGTTTGTTTGTATGTGCTTTTTGTTTTGTTTTTGTTTGTTTGTTTCTTTTAATTGTGTGTGTGTGTGCGTGTATGTGTGCGTGTGTGTGTGTGCATGTGTGTGCATGTGTGTGTATGTATGTGTGTGTGTGCGTGTGTGCGTGTGTATGTGTGTGTGTGTGTGTGTGTGTGTGCATGTGTGTGTATTTTCATGAAGTTGTATAGGTAAAGAGGTGGGGAGGATCTGGGAGGAAATGGGTGAGGGGTAAAAATATGATCAAAATATATTGTATAAAAAAGGCCAATAACAGATCTCTGTGAGTTTGAGGCCAGCCTAGCCTGAGTTCCAGGACAGCCAGAGCCACACAGAGACACCCTGTCTTGGAAAAAAAGAAGAAACAAACAAAAAAGGCCAATAAATAAATAGTCTGTTTAATCTACTAACCCATTTATTGGTTAGCATATTTGTTTGGGCATTTCATGTTTGTGGTTCTTCATATTGTTGTTAATCCCACCAGTTGGGAATATGAACATTACCACAGTTTAAAGCCAAATTTGAGGCAAGCTTTATTTAAACACTGGCCAGATCCATACCTGGATTCCCAGGAAGTGGCCATGAGTCATGGTTTGCAGGGACTTAAAAAAAGACAGAACCCAGAAATCACATTTCCCCCTCAGGTCCAATCAGGGACAAATGTACATCCTGATGTATTTCTTGCCCATGGACATCCTGCCCACATGTGATCAAGCACATTCAGTGTAGTTGGGTCAAACAAACTTGTTAAGGGAAATAATATGGCTTATTAGTTCCCATAAACAATAGCCTCCAGCATTTCATGGAGTATTTGTGCTTGGGCAAGGGATTCATAGGTCAGAGACATTTTTGTTGCACGGATCTCTTAGGGGTAGTAATTAAAACTTAAAATGTAATTTTGGCTCTCACAATATATTCTAGATATTAACTGGAAGTCTGAAGTAGAGCTGTCAAAGACTTCACTCTGGTCCTAGTTATCATTTCACTATGTTCATAGTTTATCTCTGTGGTTATGAAGCTTTTAAACTGCATGCAGAGCTACTTGCTAGTTCTTGGGGGGTTTTCTGTGCTATTGGAGTCTTTTTCAGAAATTTCTTTCTTATGCCTGTATCTTGATGTGTCTTCCTTATGTTTTCTCCTAGAAGTTTCAGTGTTTAAGATTTTAAATTCAGGTTTGTAATTCATTTTGAACTAATTTTTGTGCAGGGTGAGAGGTCTGGATCTAATTTCATTCTGTTGAATGTGATCATTTGGGTTTTCTACCACCATTTGTTGAGAAGTTTGAGAAAAACATAAGAAGAGAAATTACTCATCAAGCCTGTGCTGGGTACAGTGTAAGCCATGTAAAAGAAAGCAATAAAAAATAAGGTTGTAAGCTAGGCTGTGGATAATGACAAGAGCCAAGGATGTCAATTTGATAAACTTAGAAAGTCAAAGATGTGGAGAGATGGCTCAGAGGTTAAGAGCACTGGCAGCTCTTCCAGAGGTACTGAGTTCAATTCCCAGCAGCCACATGGTGGCTCACAACCATCTATAATGAAGTTCGGTGCCCTCTCTGGGCATGTAGGCATATATGCCAGAACATTTGTATACATAGTAAATAAATATTTAGATAGATAGATATCTAGATAGATAGATTTATTGATCTATGATTGATTGATAGATAGATAGATAGATAGATAGATAAAAAAAGTCAAAGATGTTTTTAAAAATAGAGCTCAAGGGCTTGTAACGCCAGTTCCAGGGGTAGCTGACACCTCTGGCTTCTGAGAGCACCTGTACTCATATGTGAACATCAAACACAACACACACACACACTATTAAAAAGTAGAAATACATCTTTAAATGAAACAAGTGTCTACTGGTACTGGTACAAGTTGTGACTCCTTTCTGATGGAGAAGCCAATCCTGTTTACCTACAAATCTCATGTTCAGAAAAACAAAAGGAAAACCAAGACATGGCAATGTCACATCAGCTAGTGCAGGAAGGAACTTTCGGAGGAAGATGATTACCTGGGTCAACTGTTGACATATACATAAGAGAATCGTGGTGGCATTTATGTGAGAGATGTCAACACAGACAAAGGTTAAAAATCATGTCTGGAGCAATGTTATTCTTTTCAATATTGAAGTGCTAGGCTATCTGGGAATAAAAAGAACCTGAAATTTCAGCAATGGCCACACAAAACTTACTTGTTCTTTTTTTAATTTTGAGACATGTTTCATGTAGCCGACACTAGTCTCTAACTCTCTCTATAACCAGGGAAGATTCTGAATGCCTGATCCTCCTGCTTCACCTCCCAAGGGCTGGGATCACAGGTGTGAACCACTGTGCCCAGCTGGTAAAGCCTTGTGTCTTAAGTCTTTGTGTCAGTGACGGAAGAGTGCTCTACAGAGTCACTGATGAGCTCAGAGTGATGTAATCTTCTTTTTCTTTTTTTTTTTTTAATTGCACTGGGGAGGGAACCCAGAGGGTCTTGTACATGTTGGGAGAGACACAGTCATGCCCCAACTCTAGATCCAACATCTTTACATATTTTCATCTTTTTTCCTTTTCTTTCTCTCTTTCTTTTCTTCTTCTTCTTTTTAGAGACAGGGTTTCTCTGTGTAGCTCTGTAGATCAGGCTGACCTCAAACTCATAGAGAGATCTGCCTGCCTCTGTCTCCATCTTGAAGTTGGAATTTCCAACTTCCTCTACAACTGGTTCATAAAGCCAAAAAGCAGAGGGATCATGGAGCATGGGTTTGTAGTGGGAGGGTTTCTCAGGCTAGCTAATCTGTGCTTTGCTCTAGAATGACATTTAAGTCTTCTGACACATAACTAGTCACAAAGTTGCTGGAAAATGCAGGGAGCAGATGGACTATTAGGTGAACACCACTATTTTCATTACAGGGAATGTAGACTATAAAATCTGCTACAAAGGAAAGGAGAGAGATAAGAGAGTAGCTAGGGTGAGGGACATAAGAAAATTTGTGTTTAATTGTTCTAACCAGAAAAGAGTTGTGTTTTGAGGAATTGCTAAGTAGAACAGCATGGTATTTGGTCTTGGAGATGGTGGAAGGGACAATGACAAGTCTTAGAAAAGAGACTTGACCCTCTTTGATTTGGGTAGGAAAGAAGTGAGGGAAATGCAGTTAGCCGTATGCAGGTGTGGAGGCAGGGAATTGAGGACTGAAACTTGAAATTTCCTATGAAGTAGGAAGCATTTGCCAAGGGTAGTCCTGCTGTAGGGGAGGTGACAGGAGATTTGCTAAAATAGACCTTAAGGTCTCTGAAATGGAACCCTGTCTCGAAAAACCAAAAAAAAAAAAAAAAAAAAAAAAAAGGTCTCTGAAATGGAACAGAATTTTAGGACAAGGGAAGGTCCTGGTTATCACTCTTGAAATAAATGACATGAAGTGGCTCTGTGGCTCTGAAGGGATGGTTACTGTGGCCAACAATTAAGAATAATGAGATGGAGCCGGGCGGTGGTGGCACACACCTTTAATCCCAGCACTCGGGAGGCAGAGGCAGGCGGATCTCTGTGAGTTCGAGGTCAGGCTGGACTGACAGCCTCCAAAACAATACAGAGAAACCCTGTCTGGTAAAAACCAAAAAAAAAAAAAAAAAAAAAAAAGAATAAAGAGATGGGAACTGCAGATATGGCTCAGCAGTTAAGAACACTGCTCTTCTACATGGCTTGAGTTCTGTTCCCACAACCACCTGTAACTCCAGTCCCAGGGGATCCAACATCCTCTTCTGTTTTTGTTTTTTTTTTGGGGGGGCATTGCCTGCCTGTGGCACACACACACACACACACACACACACACACACACACACACACACTAGCATGAGCCTCAAGGCCTCCTATCATTCCTTCTGTTCCTAGACCAGTCATATAGATCAAAGGCCTAGGATGGGGCAAGGGGAGGTGGGCAGTCTTGGTAAATGTGAAGCAGGAAGATAGCTCCAATGGAGAATGAAGGAAAACACTGCTTGAACAGGCACCAGCGGTGCATGGAACTTGTAAGAACAGGCAGCCTCCAGTCAAAGACTGGAAGAGTGTCCAGGGGAAGTGTGACCTTGACAGGCAGCCAAGCAGGGGGCAGTCGTCCTCCATGAAACTAAAGTTTGCAGACCTTTTTGTCAATTTGTATTTCAATAGTCAAGGATTGAGTCAGCAATAAAATCGATATATATTCAAGAGGGGAGAGGCCAGGGTGAAAGGTCAAGGTCTGTCACTTATTTGCTAAGCAATCCTGCCTTTGACTGCATCTCTTTGAGCTCAGTTTTCCTACTGTAAAATAATGAACACTCTCGGGATTATCACATGGCTCAAAACGGTGAGTGGGAGCTGTGATCCATAACAACCCACACATATAGGTTGCTATTACTATTATTGCATCATGACTTCATGGCAGCATTTGCAGCCAAGTTCTTGGTTCCTTGCTCTAAATTTAGAATAGGCTTGGGAAGAAGACTGGGTAAATACTAAAACATTTACTGAGTGCTGCTCTTTGTTGGTAACTGAGCTAGGCAGGGTGACAGTGAGCTGAAACAGCCAGGATTCATAATTTTGGAGTTCCCAGACTGAGAGACAGACACAGTATCATGTTACATTGTGCCATATGGTATAGTGGTACAGCAGGGAGCCCTGTGTGAGCCTGGAGAAGGGACAACCGAGTCTGAATGAGCCGCATTTATAGAAGAAACAGCGGTTGAGCTGACCCTTCCTTCATCACCCAGAGAAAAGGAGACCGCACGAGAATCCAGGGCTACAGACCCACAGTTGAGAGTCGGCCTCCACATCATTCTTGGGCCTAATAGGAGGAAGGAGCCTCTTGATCTCATGTGCGAGCAAACTTCATGAGTTCACTAAAGGCCTGGCTGTCATGGAAACACTGCATTCATATTCCTGCTTAATCACTTTGCAATTTACTGTCAACAACATGCTGTCGCAGGGTGAAGCACAGCCCCCATTTCCCAGCTAGGAGGTGTCATGCTTCCCAACTGTACCATATGATGATGTCTGCTGCTGGCTGACTGCCACACTTCATTTGGAAAAGGAGAGGCTGGTAGGTGTGAACAGCTCTCTCAGGAGAGTGGTGTTGTATTTTTTAAGGGTCATTTGTCACATGCACACTGTTATTGTTCTATGAGCTGTAATTCCTCCACTCCACAGGTGGACACTGAGATCCCTGGAGCCAGACTAGCCCTGTCAGGCAGCTCCGAGGACACCTGAGAGAACCTGCTACCATGAAAAAAGTGGAGAGCAAACAGACATGATTCCTGGTGGCAAGTTCAGGTGTTCATATGCATGTGTGGTGCACATATTCATGTGAACTCATACATATTTGTACCCTGCACACGTATGTTGACACATATGTAAACATGCATGCACACATGCTCGCTACACACACACACACACACACACACACAAGAAAATCTTAACTATTCTGTAAACTGAAAGGAATACAAATATTCTAAAGATACTTTTGGAATGAGTTTTCTTGTCAGCATGCCTAAAAGGAATTGAAAATATTCCAAAGAGATACTTAGGCCCCTCCCTTTGGCTACCAGATGATTGAAAACAATGGACCTCAAAGAATTGAAATTTCTACCGGGTCTCATGCTGGGAGAAGATATCACTGAAGCCTGGAGCTAGCTGGAGGAGGAACTCATCTCCCCAAAAGAGATTCAACACCCACAGCACTAGCAACCTCTCAGGCCACCTTGTAGGATAGACTGAAACCCAGACAATGGTGGTTAACGATGGATGAAACCACACCTTGACCCCTGACTGGAGCTGCTTAAACTTTATCCCCATGTCAGGATGCAGGAAGATGAACTTTGGGAGTGTCACTGTATCTCTTTGTCTCACTTCCCAGCATGGCCACATTGACTAAATCCCCCTTTCTGTTTGTCACCAGTGGTTCTTTCAGTTGGGCTGTTGAGGCTGGGTAGTCACGCCTGGCTTGTTAGGACTGCCAGAGCAAAGGCTCTGATCACAGCTCTGGGTGCCCAACTCATTTCCACCTCAGGTTGTTCTTAGTGCCCTACTGTCCTGCCCCCCCGCACTCCCCCCGCACTCCCCCCCCCGTCTACCAGCCACTCTCTACCTCATGAGCCCATTTCTTTCTTTCCAGCACTCATTCATTGACTCTGAAAATACCTTAGTTGGTGGCTGTCTCAGAATACAAGCTCATAAATACTAAAATTTTGTATTTTGTTCACCATTTTCAAGCTGGAAGTGTAGAAAAGCAAGACCCAAATCAGTGTGCAGAGGACACCCTGTCACCCAACAAAATGGTAAGCAAGGAAGGGGCTGACGATGGCCCGGGGGTAGAGTGCTTGTCTAGCATGCATAAGGTCCTAGGTTTGATCCATATCACTTAAAAGGAAGCAAGGAAACTGAGGCAGGCATTCCCAGCTGGAACCTGTGAGCATAAAGGTTAGTAACTGATTTCACCTTTGGGGTTAGACTGAGCCAGAAGTAGGTGATAAGAAACATTTTTCCTTTCAAAAAAGCAGTTATCTGGTTTTAATTCCCAGCGCTGGGGGTGGGGTGGGGGTAGGAGTTCTTATCACATCTCCCCCATTTCCACCCCCCTACCAAAATCTGACGACACTTCCAAGGGAACACAATGCATTCTGTTTGTATGAGCTGATTGGAAGTTCCAGCTGAGTAACCTCCCAAAGGATGTGAAAAATTATAAGGCTGTGGCATTCTGGAAAAACTTGACCCAGATTGCTCACTAAACCAATTCCATGGAATATTTTGATGGTGCTAATCCGCTCAGCCGAAGAGATTGTGGCTTGAAGTTAAGACAATTGAGCACTTCCTATGTATACTAAGTACTGGTCATAACTGGGCTTTTCTTGGACACAAACAGGCAGTTCTGAGCTCTTTGCCAAGTAGGAAAAGAAGAAGGTGAGGGGAGATTTGGAACAGCTGAGACAAAGTTGTTTTATCATTGGGTTTTTGGCTTTTAGCCAGCATTTCACTGCATAACCCAGGAAGGCCCAGAATTCACTGTGTAATTCTAGGTGGCTTTGTGCTAGCCACAGTCTTCCTGCCTCAGCCTCCCAAGTGCTGGGCTTACAGGCATGAGCCACCATGCTTGACACTCGGACCAAGTCTGTCTTTTATACACAACAGGGTCTTACTATACATCCCTCCGCTCTTGAGAGCTAGGATTTCAGGCGTGCACCATCAAGCCTGGCTGCAATCACTATTTATTTCTATTTTCTAGGGTGCATGTTGGGTGAGGGGCAGAGAAAGTCTGACACAAATATATTTGCTCAAGACCATAGTTAATAAATTACAAGGGAAAACTTAACTCTGGGTTTACTTGGCTCTAAAGCCTGCATATTTTCTCTCTGCCACACTGGCCTCCCCAGCATTCCTGGAAATCCTCACTGATGAAATGCATTGGTCATCTTTAAAAAACAAAACAAAAAACTTAAAAGGTAATGATATGATCTAAATGAAAGGAAGCAGGAAATCATAAAAACTTGCAATCCACATGAAATTGCTTCTGACTCTTTAACCCCTGATCAGGAACCCTTCAAGCCTGGAAGAGTAAGTAGCACATGGGTTGCTATCATACAGAAGGAAGAACAGGGTTGGTGAAAACTTACTACACCCTGATACACCTCTCTGCTGATGCAGCAACCCAAATCAGACCAAATCAAGATGAGTTGGAAAAAGCCCATGTTTAATGGATACAATGTTCCTGGCCCCCTAGAGAGGAAACGGGAAAGAGAGACTGGAAAACCACAAGTCTGTTTTCTGGGAGGCAGTTTAAATGCCCTGTGGGAGTGGTCTTGAGCATCTCTGGGGGAGGGCCATCATTTAGTGGGCAGGGTTTGGAGGGAGATGGCCGAGGGGGCTTGGATGGAACTTGTACCATAACATTCCAGACTCTGGGTATACAGATGCCAGGGGCTGGGGTGAAACTTTCACCATAACAGTTGGGATTCCTACTCCTTCATCAAAGTAGCATTGCCATAAAAACCTGCAAACTCACACCATGTCCTGTCAGAGTCACTCAGTGTGAGTTTGTTCCTTATCTGCTTACGATCCTTAGCTCTGCATTCCTGGTGAGATGAAGTTAAGATGTCTTAGCCTATCTTGTCCTTCCCTTCCTCTTTCCCTCTCCTTTCCATTCCCCCCTCCTTTCTTTTCCTACTTTTCTCTTTCAGGGTCTTATAATGTAGCCCAGGTTTACCTCCAACTCAAGATGCCCTTGCCTCAGACTTCGGTGTTCTGATTACACGATGTGCTACCATGCCTGGCTTTCAGCCTGACATTATTGACCTGATCCTTGGCTTTAACGTCTAGTCTCATGTCTGCCACTGCCTCTCACAAAACTCAGAACTGAGCAGAACCCACCTCTCTGTGCTACATATTTCTGTGAATTCATACAAAGCATTCTTGGCTAGAACAGCTCCGACTCCCTCTTTCTGTTTCTTATCTGACACTCAGTGCACTGGCTTGTTTCAAGTCAACTTGACACAAGCTGGAGTCACCCGAGAGGAGGGAACCTCAACTGAGAAACTGTTTTCATAAGATCTGGCGATAGGCCTGTAGAGCATTTTTGGGGGGGGGGGTTTCAAGACAGGGTTTCTCTATGGCTTTGGAGACTGTCCTGGAACTAACTCTTGTAAACCAGGCTGGTCTCAAACTCACAGAGATCCGCCTGCCTCTGCTTCCAGAATGCTGGGATTAAAGGTGTGGGCCACCACCGCCCAGCAAGCATTTTCTTAATTAGTGATTGATGTGGGAAGGCTCAGCCCATGGTTGGGTGGTGCCATCCCTGGGCTGGTGGTCCTGGGTTCTATAAGAAAGCAAGCTGAGCAAGCCATTGGGAGCAAGGCAATAAGCAGCACCCCTCCATGCCCTCTGCATCAGCTCCTGCCTCCAGGTTCCTCTCCTGTTTGGGTTCCCGTCCTGACTTCCTTCAGTGATGAACAGCGATGTGGAAGTGTAAGCCAATAAACCTTCTCCTCCCCAACTTGCTTTTGGTCATTGTGTTCCATGGTAGCAACAGTACCCCTGACTAAGACACTCAGCGAGCATATTTATGCTTTGGTGGTTTAGTTTAAAAGCCATCTGCTTATGAAACCATGCCTAGCTCCCTCTAACAGGCATGTACACTCATAGAGAGTGCTCACTTTCCTAAAACTCAAGTAGTTAAAAAGTGCTATGGCCCACCGTTTTGTCCCCTGAAGTAAAGACTGTACCTATTCTCCTAACTTCAAGACACAGTACATGCAGCCCCAGATATGCAGATCATCAGCCAGAACCTGGGGGCTTGATATGTCTGACTGCTTCTTCTCCTGACAAGTGAGGAGGGGATTTTACAGGCTGAGCACTGCATAACCAGGGCATGCTCTTCCAGGATTTTTCCAGAGTTGCTAAAACTGAAGGTATAAACTGAGACATATATATCATTACCGTATATATATATATACATATATACATATATGTATATGTATATATATGTCATTACCAAAACTTACTTCATAATAGTGCCTATGGCATTCGCTTTGTACACGTGTGTGAACCTTACAAGCTACATTACAAAGACACCTAGTTCAGGGGTGGGCATCTAGAAGTCAAGATGCCGTTTGTTGCCGTCACAAAAATGTTGATACATTTAACTGAATTTGGTGAACAGGGAAAGATTTACTAGCAGAAACACAGTATATAACAAAAAAGCACCAGGAACACACATAGCCACAAGGACAAGAATCGAGACCACAAACAGCCTACCAGCTGACTATTCCCAAGACGCTTCTTTAGTTCTTGAAAAACTCAGTAGTAGGTATTAAAGTGCTAAAAATAATTTGTGAAAGCTGGATGGTAGTGGTGCACGCTTTTAATACCAGCTCACAGCAGGCAGAGGCAATGAGATCTCTGTGAGTTCAAGACCAGCCTGGTCTGCAGAGTGAGTACCAGGACAGTCAGAGCTATACAGAGAAACCCTGTCTCAAAAAAAAAACCAAACAAGGTTATTAGAAGAAAAACAAAATTATGTCAATTTGTGTTTTCTTGGGAGAAAGACCATCACTGTCTGCTTCCAGCTGTGGAACGCAGGGGTCTGGTCTGTGGAATCCTACCTAGTATTCTGGCATAGACAGTCAGAAAACCATGCTCTTAGCAGAGAAAATAATCACACCTTTCCTCACAGCAAGGGGCCACTTGGGGCACACACACACAATGTTGGCTTTGAAAAAGTAAGTTTATTCAGCTTAGTACTTCAGTAACTTTCCCAGACTCACTCATGGAGTCAGATAATATTTTCTTGACAGCCTGGCTGGTGAATTCCTGCAGTCAGTCAGTCCCCACCCTCTTGGGAGAATGCAGGACTTTCTTGTGAGGGATTCCAGCTCTTTGGGAGGGCCCAAATAGGCTGAGGCTTCAGCTATTTTGAAGCCCAAGAGATGAAGATCACAGATCTAAAAAATCACAAGAGCTGGAATGGGG